ATGAGGAATTACATATAATAGTGATACTAACTCAAAATTGCTTTTTTCACAACATGGTCCGTTTCTATTGTCCACACTCCATATATGGAAAATTTTAATAATCACGTTACTAAATTTTGATCCCTGAAATTTTTGGTAACACCAATGTTCACTTTGTCTGTTTTGTTACAGTATGCCTCATATAATAAAACATGATAATGAACTAGTATTATTACAATCACCCCAATATATTATTAAAGGTTAGGGTACAGTTACATGCTTTTACATAATAATTGAAAGGATAAATAAAATGTTGTTCAATACATACAATATTGTCTCCTCCAAAGATAATTATCAATGAAAAGGTTTCTAGCATTTCCTTATTAATGAATTGATTGTTTTCATAAAATACATACAGTCAACCCTTGGTCACAGAGGATGAATGGGACATATAAGAAAAAATTTAAAAATCTGTTACATCTAGAGGTTGTAATCAACTAAAATAGTCAACTAAACTTTTTTTTGAACAACTAATAGTCAACTAAAACAGTCAACCAAATAGTCAACTATTTTAATCAATTATTTAGTTGACTACTAATACTACTAACACTAACACTAACACTAACACTAACACTAACACTAACACTAATGTCAGTATCAATAAGTATACGCTTTGGATTATCAGGTACTCTCTAGAAAAAAAGGTAGAAAGTACAAATATTCATTTTATATTAATTTTATATTATATTCATGTAATAATTCATTAATAATTTATTAAAATTACACTTACTCTAGATGATATCACTCTATAATCATCATTAACCAATAAAATATTTTCAGGCTTTAAATCAGTGTGTACCAATCGTAATGAATGCAAGACTATATATATATATATATATATATATATATATGTAGATAAATGGGCAAATCCAAAGTAAATATTTCTTTCCAAAATAATAATAATAATAATAATAATAATAATAATAATAATAATAACAACAACAATAATAATAAATTTTTCTTAAAAAACATACAAGCAACAGAATTCAATAATTGTCTTGCAACATCTTGTATTTGATTCATCGGAAATGGTGAAAAATTGTTGAGTTTTAGAAAATCAAAAAGTGATGATCCATATAAATCGAAGACCATACAAATATGATTACGATAATCAAACCAATCACGAAGATGAATACATTTGCTATATTATTAATTAATTGTTTAAGGAAAGAATCAATGATTATTTGTTAACATTAGCCATTCTCAATGTAATAATGATAATACATAAAAATAAATCGTAAAAATAGAACCTACTAGGCATTTGGTGGATCGCTATCTCTAAGAATATTTAATACTCTAATTTCAATTCGGCTAGCGTCCCGATACTTCTGAGTTGAACGAATGATCTTGATTGCTACAGTTCGGTTTGTAAGTCGATCAAGACATTGAACAACTTTTCCAAAGGTACCTTGTCCCAATATACGAATAATTTGATCTATATTAAAATAATGCAAATTAATCAACAATTAAAATATTAGCCGAATTATCTTGTCACAAGTATATCATTATATCATCATTTAATCAAGGGAGAAAAAATATTTATTTACATCTTGGTGTTAGATCTTCTCCAATTCTAACAATGTAATGACCATCTTTATCATCGTGATTAGGTATTATTGCCTGACATGAAGATGTAACAGAAGAAGAATGAGACTGAAATTAAAATTTATAATCAAAATATTAAAAAAATCCCAATATTATTGTTGATAAAATATATATATATATATATATAATGATTACAGAAATCTTAAAATGTGAAATCATGGTAATTTGTTTCCAAGTAATAAAAAATTAATCAATAATCCATAATTAACTTGAAATCAAAATTTTATTAATTAATTAATTAATTTAATAAATACCTCTCTAACCGGATAAGGTTCTCTGTAATGTACAGAAGTATGAGAACCAGTAGAAATGTATGATGATGGATGATGATAATGATAATTCATATCAATATATTGGGAATGATAATTATTAGGGATTTCCGCTGCTTTTCTTCTTCTTTTATTATAAGCAGGTGTTATTGCTTCAAATTGTGACGATGATAGTGGTATGTATTGATGATTTATGCTTTCGTCGTCAGGAAGAAGTGAAGCTTTTCTCTTAAATGTTCTTGTTTCAATTTGTCTAGTTTGTCTAGGTGGTGGTATAGGGGAAACATGTCTGATTTGTTGTAGTTGAAGTTGTGGTAATTGTGGTAATTGATGTAGTAGTTGTGAAGGAGTTGGTGAGTCTGTAATGACAATAACATCCTTTTCATCAGGCCGTCCATTTCGATAAAAATCTTCATGCCAATTAGGATTTGGCAAACGTATTCTTCTAGGTTTATAAGGTCTGGTGATTGCATTTATATTATAATTTGTCGCCATTTTTTTAATTTTTTTAATATTATTATTATTATTATTATTATTATTATTATTTATTATTAATTATGTGTGTAGGAAATTTTTTTTATGTGAAAATTTATGAATATGAATATATTAACAACATGTATTAATATGGTATAATGCAAATGACGCCACAGAATAATTTTTGTGGGACAAAGCGTTGAAAACGCCACACTCCAATCATTCAATAAACTCCGAAGTATAAGCAGAGTAGGGTATTATTCTTTGCTTTAAAAGATACTCTATATAAAAATACTTAATTTACATGATACCCAATATTAGAAATATATTTAAAAAGAACAAGGTGAAAAATTGTCCCTAATGTATTTGTTTTGAAGATTATCAAAGGAAAAAGAAAATCACCTATGGAGTTTACCAAGAAGAAAGAAAATAATGGATACTAGGAAAAGAAAGCAAAATGAAATTACCTAATAAAAAACAGAAATCTTTGACATATAATTGTGGATTTTCTTTTTTAGTTTTTTGAAAAAATATAATAAATAATAATAATAATTGCAACCACTAATCATAGATTTATCATCATCAACTTCTCTCTTTGTATATATGTATGTTCTGAGGCATGGTTATTATATTTTGCTACTGCATTTTCAAAAGTTTCATTCTTTAAATAAATCATTGGCACCGGCTTCTAGATGATGAATATTTGGGACTTGCAAATAATCCGCGCATTTGTAGAAAAGGTTTTCTGTGATTCAGTTATTATAGATAAATTGCCATCAATAAGATATCAAAGTCAAGGTGCCTTTCTTTAATTCAATCCCACTAGTAAGGAAAATAACCTTCTCCTTTCCTAGGAAGAGGTGTGATTTCTGTTACCTCAATTTCACATTGGGAAATTTGCCAAAATACTTGACAAATTTATTTCCAGGATTACCCGTAGACAGACACTTTCTCTTGATAAAGCCAGCAACAATCACCAATTCACTAATCAAGTTTTCTTTTAGAGCCAAGAGCAATTCCTTGCTAACAAAAAGAAAAGGTACTCTATCGTATATATCCTTTGGATTTCTTTTTCTTTTCTCTTATCATAGACCCTAAATTTTACAAAGAAACAATAAATTGATAAATCAAATAAATAGCTTGCATTGCTCAGATAATAATAATACCAGGACAATGCAAAAAATAAAACATTAAGAACCAAATTTTAAAAAGGTCACATAGTGTCCTTACAAGTAAAATTTTGCAGAGTTGGAAAATAACCTTTGATATTTTAATTCAAGCTTCATTTCCATGTATGATAAAAGTTATATCGTCTTGTCACCCAAGTGATAGCGGAAAATTTTAATAGTCAAGTCTGTTTGGATCCCTTCCTGATTGTATACAATTGCAAGTTGTAGAGTCCTTAAAAAAATATTTTCGAAGAAATGAAATGAGTAATATTAAATCTATCATATCGATAGATTTAATAAAACGAACTATCCTTTCCCTGTCTATGCAAGTGTCTTCTTGTCACCCTGGTTAAAGAATCTAAGGCAGCTTGTAGTGCAGATTTAGCACGGCTTCAATAAGTTCGCGTTTTCCTCACGGGGTTGTTGTCACAGAAGATCTCAATGGATATATACTCCAGAATCATTCTACATATATAATAACTTGTGAATAAAATTATAGATAAATTAAAATAAAATTAATGATTTTCAAAGTCATCATTGAAATTATTTTAATTCGTACCTTTGCAACATAAGTCATCATTTGAGTTAAAAAATCATGATATGAAATTAGAACATTAGAATGCCAAAAATTATGTACTTACGTTAGTCCACATATCTTTTTTCTACAATTTGATCATAGAGAAGGTGAAACCAAAAACGCCATTTCATTTAAGATTCACAGCCTCCATGTCACGCTAAACCTTCTGTACATTATATCCATCAGAATAAATTTTTTAATAATCTTAACAATGGTAAACAAGTAAATTATCGGTTTTTGACAATCTGTCTGTTAAAATGATATAAATGAACTGCATTTATGTATATAACACGTGTTTATGTAAGGATCGGTAAAAATGTTGATCGTTCGTTGTTGATTAATTGAACTAGGCAAGAATTTTTATTAAGGGTAGAGTGTAGTCATGTGATTTTATTAATGATCAGCAAAGATAATAATTCGAAATTTAATCACTACTAATAATAAACATACATCATTAAACCTCAAAAACCAAATTTATTTAAGTCTTTACCAATGAGTTCTCAGCGATATTAGACTTATTAGTATGTAAATTTGGAAGCATTAAATACAGCCTAATTTAAAAATAGGGTTTTTCCGAAATGTTACTATCAACCAGATGAGATATCCCATGTTCAAAAATAGAATTTTTCCAAAATGTTGCTATCAACTAAGATGATTTAAAGGAAGTCAATAACAAGATAATAATGTATACTATTTGTTCTACCTATTGTTATATCAAAATGAAGGAGCTTTCTTGGCGCATAAGTGACCCATTAATCCAAAAAAACCGTTAAAATGAAAGTTTTAAAACACAAAGCCAAATATATGTAAATTACCCCGTTAAACTGTAATTTTTACTTTTTAATACATATATCCTGTTAATCCAAAAAAAAAGTGCCCTCACAAACGCCTTCGGATTAACAGGTTGCCTACAGTCACAGCGGACTATTATCAAATTCTTGTTGTAACTAGAGGTTGGAATTGTCCAAAAAATCCTTAGTCGACTACTAGTTGGCCAGAAATTTCTTTAGTCGACTAATTAGTTGACTATTTAGTATTAGCTTACTATGAGTAATGTATGACGAATACTTAATATAATATGATCGGCTTGAAATTTTTTTTTTGAACACTCATTATTGTCATTATTATTATATATACCAAAAATTTTACTAGTCGTGTTCAACAAATTTTGTTTTTTTATGTGAAGCAAAAAAAGTTTAAAATTTCGTTGTAACACAAATAATAATTATATCTATTGCAGCAAAATTACTTTCCTCGAATGGATTTTTAGTACATCAACACTATTAGTATTAGGTAATTATGAATAATAAATTTGAAACATTAGTTATATTTATTTATAACATTATTACAGTTCAACGAATTATCATGTTACAACGGATTTTTGCTTCAGATATAAAATTCGTTTAAATGTGACAAGTTGGTATACTTTATTATTTAATTTTTGATTTTTATTATTTATTATTTGTTATATATTATTCAGTTTTTTTATTTTTTCATATTATTAAACTGGAATGTGTTTTTTAGTTGACATGATAATTAACTATGAAAATTAAAATTCGTTATACAAATTAAATAATAAACAAGACTCTGTTCTCAGCTTTTCTTTCTTAATATATAACCAAGAAACTGAGAAATAAATAAAATCAATATTCGCCAAAGTAAATAAAATAAACAAGTTTCATTTAATCGCGTTTTGTGTCTAAAATATGATAGGTCAATATTTTCTTGTAACACTTGAGCATATAATACTCATGAGTGAAGATCTTTCCATTAATAGTATGATCTATGAGTACTCGCGGTACTCACTCATGAGTAAATCATTATGAGTACAAATACTACTTTACATATTGTGAAGTTAGCGAGGTTTTCTCTAAATAAGAGGAAGAAGGTATGTATGATCCACTACTACACTTTATAATTATTTTATGTTTGATGATGAATGACCAATATTAAATATTAAATACTATCATATAAGTTGAAACTACAAATACAATCACAATCTGCTCAATCAAAGACAACAACAACATAATGATAATTAATTATAAGAAATGATTTATTATTATATTCAGACAAACAATAATACATTCATTATTCAGCACTTATTATTATGATTATTACTGAAAGAGTTTTTATGAAATGTAACAAAATATTATTTTTTTTGAATTATATATCTGTTTATCAAATTTTTAGCTATCATATTTTTTATCTTTGCTTAAAAAAAATTTTTAATGATGATAATAATATATATTTTTATATTAATAATTTTAAAAATGTTAAATTTTGATATTTTTTTTTCTTTCAAAAACTATTTCATAATAACTACCATCACAAAGCATAAGCACTTTAAATGGTTTAGGACCTCTCCAATACTTTATCAATTTATTTAAAGACTCATCTCTAACTATATTGACTTGAACATTAAAGCTTAATGTGCTCAAACTTTTTGATGATGATTTATTTAAAACTGCCAATATTTTAATGCCATTTAATGTATAATCTGAATAAATATTAGAAAATGAAATATGTTTTAATTTAGTACAACCATTAAATATTTCAATCAATCGACCAATTTCTTTATTCCTGTAACATATTGATAAGTATTCCAAATTTAAACATTGTTGTCCAATTGATTTAGAATTTTTAAAAAAATTTTTTTTTCAAGATCCTATAATACGTATATATATATTTTAAAAAACAATTTCATCGTAACTACCATTATAAAATTTAAGTATTTTAAATGGTTTAGGACCTCTCCAATTCCTCATCAACTGATTTAAGGGTTCATTTCTAATAATATAAACTTGATCTTCAAATTTTAATATGTTCAGATTTTTTGATAATGATTTATTTAAAACCATTAACATTTTAATGCCATTTAATGTATGATCTGAATAAATATTAGAAAATGAAATATGTTTTAATTTAGTACAACCATTAAATATTTCAATCAATCGACCAATTTCTTTATTCCTGTAACATATTGATAAGTATTCCAAATTTAAACATTGTTGTCCAATTGATTTAGCAAGTTCACCCAAATTAGATCTGTCTTCTGGTTTACCATCAATTGTCAAATGTTTAAGACTGTTTCCATTCAGCGTAATAAAAGTCTTCAAATCAAGCAGAAATTCTTGATTGCCAACTTTCACATTCAAAACTTCAATATTTGGAAGTGAAATATTTTTTAATTCTTTTAATTTGTTTTTAAGTGAGTAAGGGTCATCATAATCAAATACTGATAGTGATTTTAAATTTTGAAAGGTTGATATCAAATA